AAAAAAAAAAAAAATAGATAAATAAAAATAAAGACAGGGTCTAACTATGTGTTTCAAGCTGGCCTTGAACTCACTTTGTAGCCCAGGCTGGCCCCAAACTCACAGCAATCCTCCTGCCTCAGCCTCCAGAGTACAGAGATTACAAGTATATGCCACTATACCCAGCTTCCAGACCATTTTTCATTTCTTACTTTGAGTCAGGGTCTCATAGTTGCTAAGTTGTCTCAGATGGGCTCAAACTTGCAATGCTCCTGCCTCAGCCTCCCAGAATGCTGAGATTACAAGCATGTGTCACCACACCTAGCTAACTAGGTTCAATTTTAGCAGGAATCCCCAGAATCCCCATCCTTGTTTTCTGATCAAACTTATCATCCTACTCCTGGTATCTCTGTCACTGGCCTGAATATCGTAAGCATTTGGGCTGGTGTGTAGCTCAGTGGGAGAGCTCTTGCAAAGCATGTGGGAGGCCTAGGTTCCCTCATCACCACAAACAAAACAGAATCTGGTTAATCCAAGTTGACCAAGAATTCCCCTAAGTGATGGCGAAACTTTTAGAGCTTTCAAAGCTATTAAACAGGCCACTGCAGCACCCATGCCAGTTTTGCCACCACTACCCTATCCTGATCAAGAAAAGAGATTTACAGAGACATTTCAGTGTGCCCAGCAGTCTCCAGCCATTATCCTAACCTGTGATCACCTGGATTCCAGGAAAAGCAGAGCCTCAGGGCTGCAGCCACCACAAACAGAGACATCCTTTCACAGAACGGACCTGCCCTCAGCCATAAGGATCCCGGAGCCAGGGAACCAGGCCAGGGAAACTTCGACCTGACCCCGGCCCACCAGCTGGTCCTTAAAGCTGGCCTCCTGCCCTCGTGGGGGGGCCGGTCTGATCCCCTTCGTCAGAGCGCGCCCTCCAGCCACTCACGCTGCACTACTTTTCTGTTCTTACTCTCCTTTGGGCAGATGTGGGAATGCACATCTGTAATCCCAGCACTAGGGAGGCTGAGGCAGGAGGATTGCCCTGTGAGTTTGAAGCCAGCTGGGGCTACATAGAAAGTTCAAGGCCAGTCTGAACTACACAGTGAGACCCTTTCTCCCTGCCTCAAAAAAAACCCCAAAACAAAAACCCTTACTCTCCTTCGCTACGGGCCTGATCTTTCTCTGCTACTCAAGCTAGTCTCTGACCATTTTCTCTTACTTTCCAATTAAAGCTTTTCCCTGTTTATAAACCAGAGCCCCCCACCCCACCCCACCCCACCCCATGTGTGCTCAGGAGTCCCGTGTCCCTTGTACCCTTGACCTGCTGTCCCTGCTCTACAAGAGCTGGGTTCTGCAGCACATACATCACCCTTCTCAGGCCCAGTAATGCTGAAACCAAGCCACATGACAGCGACTTCCCTGTTCTCAAAAACTGTGCAGGTTGTTGTTCAGGACAGAGGCACGAGAGGCGCCGGTGGTATGGTGCTTAGCGTAGCTGCCTTCCAAGGCAGAGGCACGGAACCCTCAGGCCCAGCCTAACACGACCCTGACATCCTGGCAGAGCCAAAGTCTCCACTGAGCGAGCACAACCAGAGTAAGGAGTCAGAGAACCCAGGTTAGAAGCAAGGAATTCAGGCAACAGTGGCAGGAGAATGCCAGGCGTGCCGGCACACTCCTGTAATCCCAGGACTCAGGATCCTCGTGAGTTCAACGCCAGCCTTGACTACATAGTGAGTTTAAGACCACCCCAAACCACATAGCGAGACCCTTTCTCAAAAAGCAAAAAAAGAAACAACAGTGGCAAGAGAAACCAGAATTAGCCACAAGTTCCCCTCAGCCCCCATACCAGGTGAGGGCTAGTCTGCTACGACTATGCGTGTAACCACACAGTCCTGCTTCCCCTTCCCTGAGCCGCTTGGACTCCTTCACTGTGCCCCTTTGGGCAGACAGATCTGAGCACCCTCTGCCTCCCTGAAAGTCAGACTCCTAGAAAGCTTTCTTTTTGCAAAAAGCCAGTGACAGGGCCGGGGATTTAACTAAGCAGCACAGTGCCTGCCTGGCAAGCGTGAGGTCATCAGTTGGATTCCCCGTACCAAAAGAAAAGAAAAAGCCAGCGACACAGCACCAGCTTCCAGGAGCCCTGGGCAATGAGCCCTTGCTCAGTATCAGTCTGGTGAGTCCAGGAAGAGCCCCGGACTCTGGGGCCTGCTGGCCTCGATTCACAGCCACTGTACACCTTCCTAGCTGTGTGACCTTCGGCAAGCTGTCCGACCTCGCTGGGCCTCCGTTTCTTTTGTATGTTGTGCTGATTAAGTAAGTTGGGAAGTTTTTTTGGTTTTGGGGGGCTTTTTTTTTGTACCGGGGATCAAACTTGGGACCTTGCACTTGCCAGGCAGGTGATTAAGTAAGTTGAAGCCCAAACGTGGTGCGTCCTCTGTCAGACCCTCGCTATTCCTGCAGTGAGGAGAGTTCTTAGCCCATTCTGCACAAGAGGAGGACACTGAGGTCTGCAGATGAGCAGCAACTGAGCCAGGCCACCAGCCGGCCACCACCACCTACTCCTCCGCAGGGGGTGCCTCCTCAGAAGCCAGGATCTGAGAGGGAGGCAGAGGGTGGCGCCTGCGACCCAAGGAAGCCCAGGAGCAGGACGGGCAGGTCCTGGCAGTGTGGGCGCAGCAAGCCACAGGCGAGGCCAGCTCACACCAGTCTGGGAGGACTGCCAGTTCTGCGCCTGTAAGCTCAGTCTGGGCGGCAAAGCCATCTCCTGTTGCTGCGCAGGGGGTAGCAGGAGTCAGGAGTTGGGAGCAGCTTCATCCCTGTTCCAAAGAGGACACCTGGGCTGGGACCCACTGCAGAGCAGAGAACCTGGCCGCGGGTTCCCCAGGGCTGCGGGGTGGAACAGGATGGGACTTCCCAGAGTCAGGGATCTCGAGGGCTGAGAGGTGGAGGAAGCGTGGGTTCCAAGCTCCAAGATCTTTCTTATTTTTATATTATTTTTTGCTGAGGATTTAGCTCAGCGGCACAGCGCCTGTCTGGCAAATGCAAGGTCGTGAGTTCAATTCCCGGTACCGGAAAAAAACCAAAAAAAAAAAAAAAGCAGTGTATTATCTTTTGCAGTCTGGGGATTGAAGCCAGGGCCTTGTGTGTGCTAAGCAAGTGCTCTACTACTGAGCTACACTCCAAGTCCTTTATTTTTTATTTTGAGACGGGATCTCACTAAGTAGCTAAGTTGCCCAAACTTACAGTCCTTCTGCCTCAGCTTCCCAGAATACAGGGATTATAGATATGTGCCACCATATTAAGCTCAGGAGTTACTTTTTTTTTTTTTTTTTTTTTTGGTCTTTTTGAGACAGGGTCTCGCTATGCAGTTCAGGCTGGTCTTGTGCTCACTTTGTAGCCCAGGCTGGTCTCGAACTCACAGCGATCCTCTTGCCTCAGCCTCCCAAGAGCTGAGACTACAGGCATGCACCACTATGCCCGGTGGAGTCACAATTTTTTTTTGTTTGTTTGTTTTTGTTTTTCTCCGGTACCGGGAACCGAACTCACGACCTCGCGCTTGCCAGGCAGACGCTTTTGCCGCTGAGCTAAATCCCCAGCCCCCGAGTCACAATTTTAAATCAAGGGCCAATATCCTGGTTTCAAATGGATCCTGGGGCCAGGCATGGTGGCACACACCTGTGATCCCAGGACTCAGGAGGCTGAGGCAGGAAGATCCCTGTGAGTTCAAGGTCAGCCTGAACTACATAGAGAGACTCTGTCTCAATAAAAAGAAAGAAAGAAAAGGAAAGAAAAGGCGGGTGTGGTGGTGCCCGCCTGTAATCCCAGGGCTTGGGAGGCTGAGGCAGGAGGATCATTGTGAGTTTGAGGCCAGTCTGGGCTACAAAGTGAACTCAAAGCCAGCCTGAATGAACTGCATAGGGAGACCCTGTCTCAAAAAGACAAAAAAAAAAAAAAAAAGAAGAAAAGAAAAGGAAAGAAAAAAGAAAACGAGAAAGAAATGAATCCCAAGGTCTTAGGCCCAAAGGAAGGAGGGGCAGGCACCAGCTAGTGTCTTCTGCTTCACAAGCGGAACTGGGAGGGGAGTCCTTAGGCAAGTGACAAGGTGGGGGGCTGAAGTGTGTTCTGGGGAGGGTTCTGGACACAGAGGGCCTGAAGTGTTGTTGATGGAAAGAACTTCAGGTCCCAAACAAGCAGGGGCAGTGGGAGGGGGCGGGGAGACCCCAGCTGTGAGTCTGCAGGAGCCCCAGGTCCTCAGAAGAACCCCTTGTTTGGGAAGCCCAGTGGGCAGGGGCCTTGGGGCAGGAGAGCAGGTGGGCAGAGCCAAGTTCCTGGGCTAACATGGGGGTCTGTTTCCTTGACAGTGTGGAAGCCTCAGGGAGTCCCACAGGAGGTCAGGGTGGATCTGGGGCTCTTACTGAGTAGTGTCCGGGTTCAGAGAGGGGTGGGAGTCTCAGTTCACGGGTGTAGATACCTTCCTGAGTGGTCCTTGGATTCGAAAGGGCTAGAGGTTTGCTGGAGGTGTTTTGGGGACAGAGGGCTGGGAGTCCATGCTGGGGGTTTTCTGGGAGGGCAGTCAATGGTCCTTGCTGTAGGGTGCTCTGGCGCCCACCAGCATGGGTCCCCTTCATACACTGCAGTTGGTGGGGCTGCTGAACTGGGGTCCCAGGCACAGGGAACAGTGCTGCACTGGGAAGAAAACCCTGCCCGGGGGCTGGGGATTTAGCTCAGTGGCACAGAGCCTGCCTGGCAAGCACGAGGTCATGAGTTCGATTCCCGGTACCGGGGGGTGAGAAAACCCTGCCCTACAGGGAAGACATTGAGATGGGGTGGGGTCCCCTGCTAGAGTCACGGGTAACTGGCTGGGGAGTATGGTGACAGGAGAAGGACGAGGTCTCCTCGGGGGTGGGACTGTCAGAAGGGGCCTTGCGTATTTCCTCCTGGAAGAAAAGCCTTTAGTGGTGGCACCCTGAAAAACCTGGGGGTCTATGTCCCTGCTGGTGTGCCAGGGTCAGGAGAGGGTGGGGTGGAGTGCTTTGGGAGAGTCATATCCTATGGGCCAGGAGACATTTGGAAGGGATGGCTAGGAGTCCTGGCAGGGCTGAGGCCCCTGGGCAGAAGGGCGGGATCTTAGAGGTAGAGGGTCCAAGGCGGGTCGCTGACAGCGGGTCGCTGCCACAGTCCTAGACCCAGAGAGGGCTAGAGAGACCCAGTTCTCTGGGGCGTTAAGATTCTCACTGGTAGGCACTCTGAGTGATGGAGGACCCCAGTCCCGAGGGAACTGGTGTTTTCTGCCTTGCAGGAAGGGCTTGGATGGGGGATCCCCAGGGGGACTACCACCAGTGCTCACTAGGTGTCCGGAGGACGCTCTAGGCGCACAAGGAGGTGGGATAAGGAGATTCGAGAGGGTTCCCGGTCCCAAAGTACAGGGCCGAGGTGGGGGTCCGCGTTCTCGCCGGCCCGAGGCGGGGTGGCGCTCACTTACCCACGGTGGTGACCAGCGTGCTGGCGAAGAAGAGCGCCGAGGCGAAGTCCCAGGCCGGGTCCGAGGTGTTGGCGGCCCCCGAGGCGTTGGCGAGTACGGAGCGCCCCAGCCGCCCGGCCGCCAGCACCCGCTCCACGAAGGCGTCCAGCGCCGGGGGCTCCACGCACGGGCTGCGCAGCAGCAGTTGCTCCCGCAGCGACCCCAGCTCTGCCCGCAGCCGGGCCTCCTGCGGCCGCTCCAGCCGCGCCACGAGCAGCGCGCCCAGCGTCAAGTAGGCGGCGTAGGCGCCCAGCGCAATCGCCAGCAGCGCGCCCTGCCGCATGGCGCTCCGACCCGCGCAGCCCCTGCAGCTGACGTGGCCCCCGCCGTCCGGAGCCTGGTTTCAGTTCCGGCAGCTGGAGACGCGGCCACAGACGCCCCAAGAGGAAGAGGAAAAGAGGGAGGAGCGGGGCTGGAGCAACGCCCTGCCTCTGGGAAACTGAGGCACGCCCAGGCACCAGGTGTGTTAGCGCAGGGCGCAGAGGGCGGAGCTCTGCACTCCCGGATGGATTGGGGGGGGGAGGGGCGCGGTTGCTGTCCATCCCTTGCTTCTCTTCCCCGCTCCAGAAGTCGCAGGTCCCTAAATTACAGAGAACCCAAACTCTCCTTTTCGCTTCTGCGTGGAAGAGTTGCGTCCCAACTCCTCAAAGAGAGCGCGCGGCTGTTAAGGTTGCTCCCTGCATCCAGGCGCATAATGAGCTCAGTTCTCGTCCACCTGAGCGCTGGAGGGGACCAGCGACCATCTAATTCACAGAGGCAAACATCACAGAGCCAAGTGTCCCTTGTGCCCTCGTGGGCAGAGTGGGATCGTTAGCGGTTTACATCTTCGCTTAGCACACACTTTGTCCTCACTAGTCCTGGAGACACAGCGGTGACTGAGACAGCCTTGGAGTCTGTCCTCTCGAAGCTCCCAGTCTCATAGGGAAGACTGACACATCAGTAGAGTGACAGTGGAGGGTGGCCAGGGCTGGGATTCGGGGAAACACAGCAGAATGACCAACGCTGAGATGTGGAAGGCAGAGGAGGGCATACTCCATCTTAGGGAGGGTAAGAAAGCTTCAGAGGAACGGGTTATCCTCACTGCAACACGAGTGACTAGGGAAGGTGGGTGCAGTGGTGCACATCTATACCTAGCCCTTGGGAGGCTGAGGCAGGAAGCTAGTCACAAGTTCGAGGCCAGCCTGGCCTCCATAGAGAGTTCAAGGCCAGCCTGAACTGCAAAGCAAGACCCTATCTCAAAACAAACAAAAAAATTAGAGAGAGACAGAACAGAGAAGGGGAGAGAGGGAGAGAGAGGGGGAGAGAGAGAGAGAGAGAGAGAGAGAGAGAGAGAGAGAGAGAGCGAGAGCGCTAGGAGCCAGGATCTCTTATGGTAGAACCACAAATATATGCCTCTATGAGGGACTGGGGAGAGGAGTGTGGCTTAGTAGCACTCTTGGCAGGTATGTATGAGGTGCTGAGTTCGATGCCCAGCACTGCCAGAAAAGCAAAACAAACTAAAAAAAAGGAAGGATTGGGGATGTAGCTTAGTGGTAGAGCGTATGCTTAGCACATGAAGGCCCTGGGTTCCATCCCTGTCCCCGCCAACGGGAGGGAAGTCTTTTTCTGAGTTCCTCTTGCAGGGCTCTCCACATCCCTCTGTAGTACCCTCCTGGCGGCCTTCTGGAGGGCATCTCAGAATTCAGCCATAGCAGACCTCCAGAGGAACAGGGCTTGGGGCCCAACTCATTCTATTTATGAAACTGTGGCAGTTCTTGGAATAGAGCCTAATTTGGGGCTGACAGTCCACAGGAAGAGATATCCCATGATAAAAAGAGTAACCCAGTAACAGTGGCTGCCAGTGATCACAGGCCCTTGGACACAAGTGCTTGCACAAGTCCTCGACCACACTCATCTGATTCCCATAAACAGAGGAGAAAATGTAGACTGCAGAATGGAGCACAGTCAGCCGCCTCATCTGTGAATTCAATCAACTGCAGGTTGAAAATACTTGGAAAACAAGCTGTGTCTGTACTGAATGTGCACAGACTTTCTTCCATGTCATTATTCCCTAAATAATACAGAAAAATTTTTACAAATATTTACATAGCATCTATATTGTATTAGACATTGTAAGTAATATAGACAGATTTAAGGTGCTGGGGGTATAGTTCAGTGGTAGAGTGCTTGCCTAGCATATGTGAAGGCCTGGGTTTGCTCTCCAGCTCCACACAAAATATGTATGTGTATAATTTAAGGTATATGGCAGGAGTCAGGCATGACAGTACATACCTGTAATCCCAGCATTTTTGAGGCTGAGAAAAGAGGATTGCAAGTTTGAGGTCAGGCTGGACTACATGGCCAGACCCTATTTTTTTTTTTTTTTTTTTTTTTTATTTTTTTGAGACAGGGTCTCGCTATGCAGTTCAGGCTGGCCTTGAGCTCACTTTGAAGCCCAGGCTGGTCTTGAACTTGCAACAATCCTCCTGCCTCAGCCTCCTGAGTGCTGGGATTACAGGCGTACGCCACCACGCCCAGCAGCCAGGCCCTATTTCAAGAAAAAAAAAAAAAAAAGAATAAATAGGGACCATATAATACCATCATCAGAGTGAGCCCCTCCAGCAGTTCAAGCTGGAATCCTTTGCTGATTTTTATTACCCTCCTTTGTTAAGAGCCAGCCTGAGCCGGGCGCGGTGGTGCACGCCTGTAATCCCAGCACCCGGGAGGCTGAGGCAGGCAGATCATTGTGAGTTTGAGGCCAGCCTGGGCTACACAGTGAGCTCAAGGCCAGCCTGAACTGCATAGTGAGACCTTGTCTCAAAAAGACAAAAAAAAAAAGAGCCAGCCTGATTTTTGTCAGTTCTTCAAACTAACCAACCCTTACCATCTTTCTTTCTTTCTTTCTTTCTTTCTTTCTTTCTTTCTTTCTTTCTTTCTTTCTTTCTTTCTTTCTTGGTTTTGAGATAGGGTCTCAGTATCTAGCCAGGGCTGACCTCAAGATCACTGCAATCCTCCCACCTCAGCCTCCCTAGTTCTGGAATCACTGGTACGTACCACCACACCCAGCTTCTCTTACTTTCTAGTTAAGCTTTTTCTTCCTGTAAATCCATGCTTTAAATTTTTTGTGAGGGGTGTTTTGGTTTTTGTTGAGTTTTTTGGTGTTTGCTTTGTTTTGTAGTGGGGACTGAACCCAGGGCCTTTGCACTGAGCTACATCCCCAGCCCTTTATTTTTTTATTTTTGTGCCAGGTACTAGCTAAATCACTAAATTGCCCAGGCTGCCCCAGTCTCCTGCTCCAACCTCCCCGAGTGCTGGGATTATAGGCAGCTAACTTGGATAGAAATTAATATACAGTCAGAGAGGGACTGGGCTCTCAAGATAGTCAGTGAAGAATAAAAACATCAGAATTGTGTGGCTGGAGGTGCATTTGAAGAAGGCCAGGTCTCAAGACTAAGAACCAATGGCCAGGCCTACACACTCCCCTAAGAAATAAACAGTAATTTAAAATTATATTGTATAATACAACAAGCATTGTTAATTTCCTATCACTTTGTTTGTAATTCTGTATTTCTGTATTGTTCTTTTGCTATTTTGTAAAAGGTTGTCTGTCTGTTAATATTTTCCTCCTTTTATTTTTAAAATAAAAAGAATAAAATTATATTGTGATTAGTACCACCTGGTCCAGTAAAGCCAAATAGGTGTCAGTCACCCAGGTGGGTGACCAGAACATCTGGACCCATTCCTTCCCCAAAATGCCTTTGTTCTCTCTCCATGCATCCTTGTTACCTGACTCATTTCTCTACTGGGTCAATATTAGCTAAGCTTACTTGTGATCTAACAGATTGTAGTTTGACCCACATTTTACTCACATTGTGACTTTGCTGAATAAATTATCCAACAAAGCGTCTGTGACCACCCACTCAGGACCCTTCCTGCTCTCTCTCAATAAACCTTTCTCACTTGTAACCTCTCTGGTTCCCTGGAATTCATTCTTTTTTTTTTTTTTTTTTTTTTTTTTTTTTTTTTTTTTTTTTTGGTTTTTCTCCGGTACCGGGAACTGAACTCACGACCTTGCGCTTGCCAGGCAGGCGCTTTTGCCGCTGAGCTAAATCCCCAGCCCTGGAATTCATTCTTTGATATTCAGGGGACATGAACCCAGCACATCTGGCATCTAGCAGGGTGGGAATTATATTTCTCCCATATCGCTGAGATCACAGGTGTGTGCTACCACACCCAGCCACACGTTCCTTTAATTTCTATTATGACTAAAAGCAAGAAAGCCTGCCAGCCAAGGACAGTCTTGGTTTTGAACATGGGGCTGCCCTAGTGTGCTCCAGGACTTGCTGGGACCCCAGATGGACTGAGTGCTCAGAATATAGGACACCGTGGAAGGACTGAGGACTGAGGATACCACACAAGGACTGCACAGGGACCCTCAGCCACACCCAGTAGTCTCCAGCCATTGTCCTAAACCTGTGATCACCTGGATTCCAGGAGAACCAGAGCCCCAGAGCTTTGGACAGCGACGCAACCCCGGCCCGCCAGCTGGTCCGTACACCTGGCCTCCTGCCCTTGCGGGGTGAGAGCTCTGATCCCCTTCCTCAGAGCGCGCCCTCCAGCCGCTCACACCACACTGCTTTCCTGTCCTTACTCTCCTTTGGTAGCGTACCCGGATCTTTGCCACCTCCTCAAGCTGAAGTCTCTGTCTATTTTCTCTTACTTTTTTTTGTTGCTGTTTTGTTTTTGGTTTTTTTGAGACAGGGTTTCGCTGTGCAGTTCAGACTGGGCTTGAACTCACTATGTAGCCCAGGCTGGCCCAAAACTCACAGCGATCCTCCTGCCTCAGTCTCCCAAGTGCTGGTATTACAGGCAAGTGCCACCCCCAGACTTCTCTTACTTTGCAATTAAAGCTTTTTGCCGTAAAAAATAAAATAAATTTTTTTTTTTTTTTTTTTTAGTCTTTTTGAGATAGGGTCTCTCTATGCAGTTCCGACTGGCCTTGAGCTCACTTTGTAGACAAGGCTGGTCTCAAACTCAGAACAATCCTCCTGCCTCAGCCTCCTGAGTGCTGGGATTTCAGGCGTGGACCACTACACCAGGGTAATGAAATAAAATTTATTTATTTATGTATTTATTTTTGGTTTTTTTTCCGGTACCAGGAATTGAACTCACAACCTCGCGCTTGCCAGGCAGGTGCTGTGCCGCTGAGCTAAATCCCCAGCCCCATGAAATAAAATTTAAAATAAATGTATGGGGACAAAAATATACGGAAGAATGTACATATACATATATTACATCTTTTTCTTTTTTTCAGGTACTGTGGGGCTGGAACTTGTAATCCTCCTGCCTCAGCCTCCCAGAGTGCTGGCCAGGATTAATTACAAGCATGCACCACCGTGATGCCCAGTCGCTCTCTCTCTGTTTCTGTCTCTCTCTCACATAGTACTGAGGATTGAACCCAGCGCCTTGTGCATGCTAGGCAACCATTCTATCACTAAGCTATACTCCCATTCCTTTTTAAAATTTTATTTTGAGATTGGGTCTTGCTAAATTGCCCAGGCCAGACAGGGATATAGTTCAGCAGCACAAGCACCTGCTGGCAAGCACAGGGTCCTGAGTTCGACTACCAAAAATAAATAAATAAATAAATTGCCCAGGCTGGTTTCAGACTTGGGATCCTCCTGCTTCAGTTTCCCAAGCAGCTGGGATTGCAGACATTTGCCACTACACCTAACCAGTATCTTTTTTTTTTTTTTTTTTTTTTTTTGAGACAGGGTCTCACTATGCAGTTCAGGTTGGCCTTGAGCTCACTTTGTAGCCCAAGCTGGTCTTGAACTTACAACAATCCTCCTGCCTCAGCCTCCCCAAAATCATTTTATATAAAGGACTTGAGTGTTTAAGGATTTTGGTATCCACAGAGTTTCTGGAATCAATTCTCCCCAGATACTGAAGGATGACTATAGTCACATAAGAGATCAGCAGGGTCTGGCGTGGTGGTGCACACCTGTAATCCCAGTACTCAGGAGCTTGAGGCAGGAGGATCGCTGCAAGTTCAAGGCCCCTGTGGGCTGCATAGTCAGTTTAAGGCCAGCCCGGACTACATATGGAGACCCTATCTCAAAAAACACAACAAAAAAATCAAGCTAGGAGTGATGACGTATTCCTGTAATCCCAGCACTTGGGAGGCTGAGGCAGGAGGATTGTTTTGAGTTCAAGGCCAGCCTGGGCTACAAAGTGAGTTTAAGGCCAGCCTGAGCTGCATAGTGAGACCCTGTCTCAGAAAGACAAAAAAAAAAAAAAAACCCTAAGAGGTCAGCAGGAAGCCAGAATACTTTATTAATAAAAAAATAGCTGCAGAAGTGATTAACCTGGAACAAGAAGAAGGGCTGAAGATGAGAAGAATGGTGGTGAAGCCTAAAGGACAGATGCTACCTCAGGGAGGACCTAACTCAGCCAGCACTCACTACTGAGAAACCAAGAGCGGCCCTCAAGGTCCCCCAAAGCCTCCGTCTCAGAGGAGGAAAGGGAAGCCACTGTGATAGGGCCACATGCTGCAATCTTTCCGGAGTGCTATCAGGGCCCAGAAGTCACTTCCACCAATGTCTCTGCCTGCGATAAGTGGAGGGGGCCGGGGACACAAAGGAGGGGGATGAGGGACGGAGAGGAGAGACAAAGGAAGCTGGTTTTCAATGCCCAACACTAGCGGGTGCCAGGAGCTGCTGGGGTTGTTGACGGTGTTTGGTGGACACCAGGCATCGGGGGAAACACTCACAACCCGAGAACATCTGTATGAATATCTGAAAAACAGCCTAAAGAGATCTCTGAACAGAGATACCAGTTTTTACCACCTAACTTGCTGAGTGTCCTTTTTTCATTAAATATTCACTTTAATACCTAAAGAGGGAGGTGGCCCAGGGGACACACGCCTATAATCCCAGAAGTCAGGACCCGAGGATCATGAATTCAAGAACAGCCTCGCCTACAGTGCGAGACTGTCTCAAAACAAACAAATAAGCAAACAGAAACATGTAATCCCAGCTGAGGAGGCTGAGACAGAAGGACTGCAAGTTTGATCTCAGCCTGGGCAATTCAGCAAGATACCCAAAATTAAATAAATAAATAAATAAAGGTTTGAGGTTGTAGCCGGGCGTGGTGGCGCATGCCTGTAATCCCAGCACTCGGGAGGCTGAGGCAGGAGGATCGTTGCGAGTTCGAGACCAGCCTGAGCTACAAAGTGAGCTCAAGGCCAGCCTGAACTGCACAGGGAGACCCTGCCTCAAAAAGACCGCCCCCCAAAAAAAAAAGGTTTAAGATGTATCTCAGTATGAAAGTCTTGAGTCCAACCCCTAATACGTAGCCAAACAAAAAATATAAAAACCTAAGGAGTGCCAAAATGGTATAAGGGCTAGAGCTTACACAACTATTAGTCCTTGGGGAACACAAATGCATCTCTCCCCCCTTGACCCACACCCGTGTCTGGCTCCCCAGTGCTCTCAGACTCAAACTAACTACCTGAACGTAAAGAACTCTATTTCCCATCTCGCTCTCTGCCCCACACCTCACTTGTACCTCTGGACGTTCCAGGCCCCGCCCTTCTGTCCGTCAGGTTCCGCCTCTCACCTTACGTCACCAGCCCCAGTTCCCGCCTCTTACGTACACCACATCCCATTCGACCGTGCCTTTATGGGGCGTGGCCTCCTTTCAACCATGAAGCTCATTGGCTATCATGCGCCTCTGGGGCGTGGCTACGGGAGCCGGGCGGGTACGTTCCGAACCGTGGTTGAGACGGTGGCGGGGAAGGATGCACCCGGCAGGCTTGGCGGCGGCGGCGGGGACGCCCCGGCTGCGTAAGTGGCGTACGTGGCCAGCCGAGGAGATCAGGCGGGCGGGGGCGTGGCGGAGCAGTGGCGGGGCAGTGGCGGGGCCGCAGCGGCGGTTAGCGAGGTCACTGCGGGTCAGAGGTCACGAGATCGAAGATCCGGAGTGTCGAGGTGTGCACAGCGCAGGGATGCCAGGTCCGGGTAGGGGGCGCATCGGGGGTATCTTTTTAAAGAAATTCCTTTGGATTCTAGAAGAAAACCACTTGGGGGAGGATATTGTGAGATGTGCAGAGAAACGCGACTTTCATTCATTTGCTGTGAGCGATCTGCCGGCTTCTGCTTCCCCGCTTCCTGAGTCTCCCCGTTGCCCACGAGCTGTCGCCCACGCCCCTTACTACCGCCTCCTGCGGAGTGGGCCACGTTTACTCCTCGCTTAAGATTTGAACCTGTATTTACTGCACTGTTAACCTCCTTTTCCGATCTCTGCATTTGTTTTTAAGTTCTTCTTCTCCATATGTACACTGTGCTTTTCATTTACGCATTCAACATGTCTTCCTTCACCTTCTCCTGTGCCAGGCCCGGTGTTGGAATTTGGGGGCCCAGTAGTAAGTAGCGTAGCCCAGTTCTCGCTATCAGAGTTCAGTGGAAAGACAGACACCTAAGTAGGAAGCAAACAAATCAACAAGAAATTTTGGGAGTCACGGGGATGCGAAGAAAATAATCTGGGACATGACTAGGGGTTGAGGAGAGCTCTCTTTGAGGGAGACGGGGATGTGCTGTTCCTCCTTTCAGGCAGTAAGGAACTTGGCTGGCCCTGTGGTGGGTGACCCAGCGGGTACAGCAGTGTCCAGTCAGCGCTGCTCTGTCTCTTGCAGCTGCTAGTAACAGCGGATGACAGTGACAGTCTAGAGCAATGGCGCTGTGATGCGAGAGGCACGGGGCTCAGGGAGAGGATGGGAGGCTTACGCGGAGTTGGGGATGCAAGGGGACGTGCCGGGGAGGGTGGGGACGAATGGGGAGGCGCAGGCGCCGGCTGAGGGGTCAGAGAGGGATGCGGACGCACAGCAGAGAGGTCTGTTGTAGGAGCCCAGAGGTGACATCTGGCCTGGGGTGTCTGTGCACTTCCTGGAAGAGCGTGGGATTTTACCTAGAAGGAGATTTGCAGCGAGAGCGAAGACGAGAAAAGGAGCAGACCAATGAGTAGCGACTTAGAAGCTGTGCCAAGTGCTCAGAAGGGAAGAAAAGCACTAGGGGATATGGTTAAGAGCCCGCGGGGCTGGCGTGCTGTGTGAGGGAGTGAGGGCCTCACGGAAGGAGCGCAGGTGCTGAGGAAGGGAAGATGTTCCAAGATGAAAGCGTGGTGCTGCTAGTTCAAAGACCTGTTGCAGGGGGCGGGGGATGAGGATGTAGCTCAGTGGCACAGTGCAAGCGGGAGGTCCTGAGTTCGATTCCCATTCCCAGACACCCCACACACACACAACAAAGCCTGTGGGTGCAAGGAGCTCAGTAGGGTACATCTGGAGAGGAGGAAGCTGTGGCTGGCAGGGCTGGTCACACATGGCCTAGTATGTGTTTGGATCTGATTTTCAGCACAGTGGGCACTTAGTTTATATTTAAAAGGCACATAGGGCCTGCCATGGTGGTCCACACCTGTAATCCCAGCACTCAGGGAGGCTGAGGCAGGAGGATCGCTTAAAATTCAAGGCCAGCCTGGGCCACATAGTGAGTTCAAGCCAGCCTGAGCTGCACAGCAAAACCCTGTCTCAAAAACAAAAAAACCCACAAGAATAAATAAATAAAATAAAAGGACCATAGAAAGCCAGGCACGGTGTGGTATGTCTATAATCCCAGCCCTCACGAGAGGCTCAGACAAGAGGATTGCACAAGTTCAAGGCCAGCCTGAACTACATAGGCAGACCATATCCAAAAAAAAAAAAGAGAAAAAACTGAGCATGAGGTGCACATTCTGGAAGATTGAGGCAAGATGATCCCACGTGTGAGTCCAGCCTGGGCAATTTAGTGAGACCATCTCAAAATTTAAAAATTTTAAAAGCACTTGGGGTGTGATTCAGTTCAGAGGCCCTAGGTTCAATCCTCGTTACTGTTTAACAAAAATAAGCCATGTAGGGTGGTACACACCTATAACCTCAGCCCTCAGAAGACAGAAAGGATGATTTAGTCCTAGGCCAGCCTGGGCTACATAGGGAGAGCCTGTCTCAAAAAATTTTTTTTAATTAATTAAAAAAATAATAACAGTATTATGGGCTGCCCTTTGGAGTGAAGGTAGGTAGGGCTTAGAATGGTGGGCCATGGGACCAGCTAGGACATTTAAATCAGTTTGGAGATGACATATCAGAGGGGCGGATACCACTAGGATGTAGTGGCCGAGGACTAGGCAGCATGACGTCAGACAGAGGGGAAGTGGGGTCTTGGAGGCTGAGGTACGGGCCCAGAGGCAGCCGGGAGGTTCTAGGAAGGGGCCACACCTGGGTCTCTAGCTGGGAAACAAATAGTGGCTCCAGGTGGGCGCCAGAAGCCAAAGCTGCACTTGGTGGTGAGAGCTGGCTGTGGATGAGTCTGCTGTAGCTGAGAAAGAGAGACAAGCGCAAGGGTGGCAAATTGGGTCACCAGTGTGAGGGATCTGGAGAGCAGCCAGTCAGGAGACTCTTGGCTCCACACAGGCAGGAGGGTTTGTTGCTTTATCCTTTTCTATGTTTGCTGTGCCCACAGCAGAGCCCCCACAGTGGAGGGTGCCCAGTGCATGTCTGTGGGGTCAGACAGGTAAGAAAACAGCTGCCTACAGATGTTTCAGAAGTAGAGAGGTCAGCCATGTGTGGTACTGCCGCCTGTAATCCCAGCACTCAGGAGGCTGAGGCAGGAGAATCACTAGTTTGAGGCCAGCTTGAGCAAGTTAACCAGACCGCCCCGCCCCTCCGCAAGAAAGAGCTGGCTGTGGTGGCGCACACCTGTAGTCCCAGAACTGGGGAGGCCGAGGCAGGAGGATTATTGCGAGTTCAAGACCAGGGGGTGGGGGGATATAGCTCAGCAGCACAAACATCTGCCTGGCAAGCGCATGGTCCTGAGTTTGATTCCTGGTACCAAAAAAAAAAGACCAGCCTGGGCTACAAAGTGAGCTCAAGGCCAGCCTGAACTGCATAGTGAGACCTTGTCTCAAAAAGACAAAAAAAAAACTTGGAGCTTGGCATTAGAAGCAGTGGCACCAAACACTGCCATGGGCTTGATTCAGGTAGGAGAGAACAGTGGCATCGACCTTGATCTGTGGAGAGGCTTTTAGGAGACAGCAGAAGAAACCAGAGTAGCGAGTGAGGGCTGATGGATAGATAGGGACGAGGAAGGTTTGCGCTAAACTTTCAGGAAACCAGCAGAAAGTGGGGTGTGGGGACAAGGTAGGGCTCATGCTGTTTGCTTTGAGAATAAAGAGACCATTGTTTTAAGGCTACAAAAAAAATTGAGAGGGTGGGATGTGGTGGCATAGGCCTATAATCCCAGCACTTGGGAGGCTGAGGCAGGAGGCTCACGAGTCAGAGCCTAGCCTGGGCAACTCAGTGAGACCCTGTCTCAAAGTAAAAAAATTTAAAAAAGGGTTGGGGACGTAGCTCAGTGTGAAGGCCCCCGGTTCATTCTGCAGTGCCACGATGGGTACGGGAAGGGCTGAGGGCTGTAAGTTGACAAAAAAGTGGTGGACCGGCTGCTTCCTGCGGACTGAGCACTTGGCAAGCATTACTCGCCGCCTCGCGAGCCACCTAGCAGGACAGTGAGCTCCACCCTACAGAGAGAGCTGCGGGCAGGGACCCCTGGACGAGGGTAATTTGATTTCTCTCCTCACCCCGTCCCCTGTACCTGACAGAAAGGGTTTGCTGTGTCAGTGTTGCGTGGTGTCAGGAGCAGGGCCCTGAGCCACAGTGCTGGCTTCTGATGTCACACCCCCCCCAGGCAGCACCCCCACTTCCCCAGAGCTCAAGCCAGCATCTGCGAAAGCAGCTGCTTCCTCCCCACACCCCAGTGCACCCGCCTCCAGAGTCCTTTCCCTCGCCTCTTTTGTGGGAGAGCTACCTAGAAATGGCCTGTCCCAGTGTCCCCATCCAGGCCAACTCAGCAGCTTGCACTCTCCTTTACCCGCCCAACTTTTGGGTAACTTTTGTGGGCTTTATTTGGGACTTTTGTTTGTTTATTTGTCTTTTTGGAAACGGGGTCTCACTATGCAGTTCAGGTTGGCCATGAGCTCACTCCTGCCTCAGCCTCCCAAGTGCTGGGATGATAGGCACGCACCACCGCACCCAGATGTTTGTTTGTGTTTTGAGACAGTCTCACTATGTAGTTCAGGCTGGCCTTGAATTCACTACATAGCCCAGGCTGGCCTCAGATTCACAGCGGTCCTCCTGCCCCGGCTTCCCAAGTGCTCCCACCTGCTAGGCAAGCACTCTACCACTAAGCCACACCCCGAGCCCTGATCTTTTACAGGCTCTTGAAACCAGGCTGTGCCTCATACCTACATGAGTTTTGTTTTATTTTGTTTTTCAGACAGGGTCTCGGTATGTAGTCCAGGCTGGCCTTGAACTCATCCTGTCTCAGGCGATCCTCCTGTCTCAGCCTCCTGAGTGCTGGGATTACAGGCATGCGCCACCACGCCTGGCTGCCGGAATGGTTTTGAGAAGAGCCAATTCTAGCCCTGATCTAGGGATGGGGGCTCACTGTCCAAGGGAGGAAACAGAACAAAATAATGAGTCTGTCGGCTGGGCTGGTGCTGAATTTCTTCTGTGGACCTAATGAAGCAGGGGAGGGAGCGAGCAGTGCTACAGAGGGAGGTGCTGTTGCAGGCAGGGGGGTCATTGGGTTGGAGAAGACTCCACTCAGCAGGACCTCAAGGGGTAGAGGAGGGAACCAGGAGGTAAGGAGCAAAAGCATGCTGGGCAGAGGCATAGCTAGTGCAAAGGCCCTGAGGTAGGGTGACAAGGTGTCCAGGGAACATTGAGCGGCCCCAGAGGCTGCAGCTGAATGCCTGGGGGGCAGTGTGGAAGGAGACAGGAACAGGAATCTTGTGTGTTAAAGGCTTTGTACAGATTTTGTGGACAGTTGGCCCTGCTACAGAGTAGCTGTCATCATCTTTGTCATTGTTATTTGTTGTTTTTTTTGAGAGAGGGTCTCGCTGTGCCATTCAGGCTGGCCTTGAGCTCACTTTGTAGCCCAGGCTGATCTCGAACTCGCAACAGTCCTCCTACCTCAGCCTCCTGAGTGCTGGGATTACAGGTGTGTGCCACCACACCCAGCTGGCATTATTATTTGGATGGATGGATGGAGGATGGATGGATGACAGCCTGTCCCTGACAGTCCATCTGACATCAAAATCAGGGCTCTGTCACGGTGACGCACCCCCGCTGTGGTGGGAGCAGCAGGGAGAGTTCCTGCAGAACACATGAGCTCCCTGCCTTCTTCCTCTGCAGCCTCGAAGCGGAGGATCCCAGTGTCCCAGCCGGGCATGGCTGACCCACACCAGCTTTTTGATGACACGAGTTCAGCCCAGAGCCGGGGTTATGGGGCCCCGCGGGCAGCCAGTGGCCTGGGCTACCCCGCCAGCTCCCCGTCCTCCCAGGCAGCCTTCCTGGCAGATCCTGTGTCCAACATGGCCATGGCCTACGGGAGCAGCCTGGCCGCCCAGGGCAAGGAGCTGGTGGACAAGAACGTGAGTGCCGGGGCTGGTGGGAGTCGGGGCCACGGGGGCCGCGGGGCCTCAGACTTGGGCTCTGATTCCCCAGATCGACCGCTTCATCCCTGTCACCAAGCTCAAGTATTATTTTGCCGTGGACACCGTGTATGTGGGCAAAAAGCTGGGCCTGCTCGTCTTCCCCTACCTGCACCAGGTGAGTACGCCTGCCGGCTCCTGGGGGCGCGAGGGGCCAGGGCTTGCCTGCCCTGGGGATCCACCTGTCCGCTCCTTGTTGCCTCCAGGACTGGGAGGTACAGTACCAGCAGGACACCCCGGTGGCCCCCCGCTTCGATGTCAATGCTCCAGACCTCTACATTCCAGGTCACACCCTGCCCGCTGCCCCACACCCTCCTCCCTCTGGTGGGCGCGGGTGGGCCACCTGAGCCCCACCGTGGTCCTTCCTCCTCTGACCAGTGTCTGGGTCTGCCTCCTACAGCAATGGCTTTCATCACCTACATCTTGGTGGCTGGCCTAGCGCTGGGGACCCAGGACAGGTAAGCGAGGTCCAGGGCGGGGTGGGGTGAAGTGGGGTTGAGTGGCCAAGGAGCCATCAAGGTCTTGGTTCTCCTTTTAGAACAGCCTCTCCTTTATCCCAGTTGACTCAAGACCGAGCCTCTCTGTCGCCCTGGCACATGACCTTTTCTCTTCCCCACCCATGTGCAGCCTCCCATGCCCTGTGACTAGCGGCCCTCCAATGTGTCCTTCCTTCCCGCTTCCAGCCCCAGATCCGACTCTTCTGCACTCTGACCTACTGCGCTGCACCCCACCTCTACCCCTGCACCCTCACTCCAAAGGTGGGGGGCTGGCCACATCCCCCCCACCCGCTGCCCAGCTACCCTTAGCCCTGTGAGACTTGATCACCCTGTTCTGTCCCCCAGGTCTGCACCACCTCTACAGGGCCTTTGCACTGCACTGCAGCTCCCTTCTCAGGAGTATGTTCCTCTCCTGTGCCTGCTCATTTGCCATGTGTCTCACGCATGTCACTGCCTCACCCCGTGTCACTGTCTCACCCCAGCCTGGGTTGAGCCTCCGCCTGTCACTCATAATCCCCTGTTCCTTTCCTTTATGGCCCTGAAACAACTGTTGATTCACTGTTGAGGCCCTGGCCACAGGGCAGAGATGGAGGCCTTCCTCTCAGGCCAGCTGCTTACTCTTTCCAGTCTCAGCGTACTGTCCCCTCTGCAGTTCCCTCAGCCCAGTCCTGACCCTGCTGGACACCACTGTGTAGGGACAGGTCTGCCTCCACCGCAGAGTGGCCCTTCTGTGAGGACGGGCCCACATCCGTCTTGTCACTGCTGAGACTCCAGCCCCACTCCACACCCACACAGCGCTGTCCCCAGGCGTTGCTCAGGGAGACCCTGAGTGCCAGGCGCTTGACTGAACTCAGTGCCCGCAGGTTCTCCCCAGACCTCTTGGGGCTACAGGCAAGCTCGGCACTGGCCTGGCTGGCCCTGGAGGTGCTGGCCATCCTGCTCAGCCTCTACCTGGTCACCGTCAACACTGACCTCACCACCATCGACCTGGTGGCCTTCTTGGGCTACAAATATGTTGGGTGAGTACCTCCCACCCAGCTTGCCAGCCCCAGCCCGAAGGCCTCTTCCTCAGCCCGGCCTCCTCTCCCCTTCCAGCATGATCGGCGGTGTCCTCATGGGCCTGCTCTTCGGGAAGACGGGTTACTACCTGGTGCTGGGCTGGTGCTGCGTTTCCATCTTTGTGTTCATGGTGAGCTGGGGTTCACTGTGAGTGGGGCTGGGCCGCAGGGCTCCCGGGGCCTCCGCGCAGGGGTTGTCAGGGAGCGGATTTAGACCAGAGCCACACTGAACCCAGGGGGCCAAGAGTGGCTCCCCGAGTCTGGGGCCAGGAGGGCTTCCAAGAGGGAGCACCCAGGCTGAGGCTGGAGGAGAAGCAGGACCCGAAAGGCTGCAGGGGGGTGGGGGACCAGGGTTACCCAGTGTCCCGGCTCCTGGCTGGCCTCTTCCCTTGCTCCACTCCCCTTATATGGTGGCTTCTGGCCAAAATGTCCCTGGAAGGAGACTCTGAGGGCCCTTCCCGCTGGACTGGGGGTGCTGTTCAAGGGCAGTGGGCCTGCCTGGCTTGTGCTGACCCCAGGCTTCACTGGGCTCAGGGCAGGTCAGTTCTGTTCAGACCTCAGTTTCCCCTTTTGTTTAATAGGATGATGATGACTGCACCTCAAGGTGCTAGGAGGATTCATTTTGAGCACAAAAAAGTGGAGTGCAAACATGGTGGCTGGTGGCTAAATCTGACCCATGGGCAAACTTTGACTTGATAGCATTGTAAGGTTTTTTTTGTTTTGGTTTTTGTTTTTTAAGACAGGATATTGCTATGTAGCTCAGGATGGCCTTGAACTCACTATATAGTTTGGGCTGGCCTTGAATTTGTGATCTTCCTGCCTCAGCCTCCTGAGTCCTGGGGATTACTGGCATATGCCACAGGACACCTGGCTATACATTTTTAAAAAGAAATTGAGGACTGGGGATATAGTTCAGCTGCACAGTGCCTGTCTGGCAAGTTGGAGTTCTGAATTCTATTCCCAATACCCACACACAAAAAAAAACAAAAAAAGCCAGGCATGGTGGTGCATGCCTATAATCCCAGCACTTGGGAGGCTGAGGTAGGAGGACTGTTATGAGTTCGAGACCTGGGCTACAAAGTGAGCTCAAGTTTAGCCTGAGCTGCATAGCAAGACCCTGTCTCAAAAGACAACAATAAATCAATAAATAAAAATAAATTGAAAGTGTTTTAGAAAATAGCTTGTCTTGAAAAATTGTCATCTGGGGCCAGGTGTGGTGATACATGCCTGGAATCCTAGCACTCTGGGAGGCTGATACAGGAGGACAGAGAGAGTTCGAGACCAGCCTGGGCTACATAGTGAGTTCAAAGCCAGCCTGAACTACATAGCAGACCCTGTCTCAAAAAAAAAAAAAAAAGATAAAAGGCCTGGGGATGTATCTCAGCGGGAAGCCCCTGGGTTCGATCTCAGTAAGGCAAAAAAGATGGTCACGTGGGATTCTGGGGGAGTAGCTTGGTGGTAAAGCACTTGCCTAACACACGGGAGGCCCTGTTCACCTCCAGCACCCAAAGCAAACCGTTGTCTCTCGGCCAGTGTAAGAGGCGGGCAGCAGAGGGAGCCAGCTCACCACCCACCCCAGGCAGGACAGACAGTGAGGGGCCCCAGGGTCACTTAGGGCCTGGCTTGCAGGCAGCCTCGGGGCAGAGGCGGGAGGTCTGCCCAGGCCCCCACCCCGGCCCACAGGGTGACCCGCACCCGCCCTCCAGATCCGGACACTGCGGCTGAAGATCCTGGCCGAGGCGGCGGCGGAAGGGGTCCCGGTGCGCGGCGCGCGGAACCAGCTGCGCATGTACCTGACCATGGCGGTGGCGGCGGCGCAGCCCCTGCTCATGTACTGGCTCACCTTCCACCTGGTGCGCTGAGCGCCCTCATCATCTCTGCGGGCCGGGCCTCCCTCGGCCCGCCCCCGCCCCCTCGCCAAGGTGCTGAGACTCCAGCTGCACAAGGAATCAATAAACCCAGAGGCTCGCGCGCGCGACTCTCCTCCTTGGCGCGCTCCGCGGGGCGGCCGGCAGGGGGCGGCGGGGCGCGGGCGCGAGCGAGACAGAGCGGGTGGACGCGGTTTAATGAGCCCCGCCCGTCAGTGCTTGGCTTCCTTCTTGCCCTTTTTGTCTTTCTGTTTCTTGTCCTTCTTCATCTTGGGCTTCTTGGTCTTGTCCGCGGTGCCTTTGTGCTGCTGTGAGCCGGCGGCGTGGGGCTGCGGGTGGAGCAGCGAGGACAGGAGAGGTCGGGGCTGGAGGCGGCCACCGGCCCCGCTCCGCCCGGTGCGGACCGCGCTGACCCCTCCCGGGGGCGAGACGGACGCGCGGGGCCCCTTACCTTGCCCTCGGAGTCCGAGTCGCTGGAGCTGCTGCTGGAGTCCGAGGAGCTGCCGTGGCCGTGCTGGTGGGGAGGGAAGGCAGTGAGGGCAGGAAGCCCCCAGCCCCGCAGCCCAAGTTGGACGGCGAGGCGCAGCACGGCCCCAGGACCAGAGCCCACCCCAGCCTCCCCTGCCTCCGCGGTGCTCGTGCTGAGGTGACTCACCCGCGGCTTCTGGCCTGCCCCTGGCCCACCCTGAGCTTTAGGGGGGCCGTGCTTGGGGTCTCCCAGTTTGCATGCCCCCTCCTTCTTCTTGGAGTTGGAATCCAGGGCTGCAGAGAGAAGGGTCGGGTGGGTTGGCCCAGGCCGGGAGTGGGTCTAAGCCCGGATCCCCCACCCCGAGGAGGATTGCCCAGAGCCCAGAGCGCACCTGCCGCCAGGCTGAAGTCCATGGTGGTCAGACCAGGTGTGTCCCAAGGGCCAGGGGAGCCGCGCAGTGCCCCGGGGCAGGGGAGGAGCCGCAGGACCTGCCCGCCCCAGGAATTTCCCAGGTGCCCACCCCCCTTCTGACCTTTGTCTCCCCCCGCCCCAGCTTCTTAGCGGTGACTCACAGCCCTTCCCTGCCTCCTCCCAGATTCCTGGGTTGGAAATGGGGGAGGCAGACACCCAGCTTCCTGGAGGGGCGGGGCTCCGGGGATGGGGCTGGGTGAGAGTATGGGGGCTGCCGGTTTCTGGGGGGGGCGTTGACAGCGGTCCTCAGCTTCCCCTCAGCGGGTCAGATGCCGCCAGAACTGGCAGAACTCTCTGAGAGAGTTCCGTGATTGGGCTGGTACCTCATGTGTCACCCTGCACCATGTCCCGGAGCTTTGTGGCTTTAGCTGACATCTGCAGCCCTTCTGGGGCCTGGGAGAAGTGGAGACCTGGTGAGCAGCAGGCAGACCTCTGAGAGTGGCTTCTCTTCTCGCTTATCTATGAAGGGCAGATGCTCCTGGGGTGCCTGCAAGATTTGGTTGAGTTTCCTACCCTGGTGCCTGGCATTGCCATTTGGTTTGGTTTGGTTTGGTTTCGTGGTTTTTTTTTGTTTTTTTGTCTGTGTGTGTGTCTTTTCGAGAGAGGGTCTCACTATGCAATTCAGCCTGGCCTTGAACTCACTTTGTAGGCCAGACTGGGCTCAAACTCTCAACAATCCTCCTGCCTCAGCCTCCCAAGTGCTGGGATTACAGGCGTGCACCACCACGCTTGGCTTGGTTTGGTTTTAAATAAGGGCTAGTGTCTTACTTTGGACTGCTGTAGCAAATCCACAGGTCTAGTGGTTTAAACGATTTCTTTCTCATAAACCTGGAACCTCAGAGTCCAAGACCAACGCACCAGGCAGATCTTGTGTCAAGAGAGGGCCCACTGCCTGGCTTGTGCACAGCCAGTGTTGCCTCCTCATGGGCAAGATCTCACACCAGGGTTTCTTTGTGGGTGGAGGGGTTGAAACGGGTTATGTAACCTAGGCTGGCCTTGAACTTGTGATCCTCCTGCCTCAACCTTCAGAGTGCTGGAATTATGGGCGTGTGAACCACACCTGGCAGTAAAGTTATTAAGAATCAGTGAATTGTATATTAGAAATGGGTTTCTGTAATACACCTCAAAGCTTGCTTTGTTTTCTTTTGTTTTTTGAGACAGGGTCTTACTATGTAGTTCAGGCTGGACTTGAACTCACTTGTACCTCAGGCTGGCCTGGAACTCAAAGTGATTCTTCTGGCTCAGCTTCCCAAATGCTGGGATTACAGGTGTGTGCACCGAACCTAGCTCAAAAAAAAGTTTTTTAAAGTAGTATGTATGATTCAAGGAGAGAAATATACCTGGGTGTGGTGGCACAGCTACTGGGGAGCTGAGGCAAGAGAATCACAAGTCTGAGGCCAGCCTGGGCAATTCAGCAAGACCCTGTCTTTAGGACCAGGGATAATAAAGCTCAGTGGCAGAGCATTTACCTAGCATGAATGAGGTCCTGGATTCCACACCCAACACTGTAAAACAAAACGAAAGGGAGCAAAACAGCAATTGAGGGGGATAGATAATCATATGATGTGCCGCAGAGGGGTTGGATTATAGAGTCACCAAGGGATCTCACCGAAATTCTTTTAGTCTTCTTGGTTTTTGTTTTTGTTTTGAGATGGGAGGATGTCACTGTATGGCCCAGGCTGGCATTCAGCTGGGCTCAAGTGTTCCCTGCCTCAGCCTCCAGAGTAGCTGGGACCACAGTTGCATACCACCGTGCCTGGCTCTTCTTTTTTGAGTAAAGGTCTGAAGATGCGGTGGTAGCGTGCCCTAGTCAGAGGGACGCAAGTGTGAAAGTGCTGAAGCAGGAATGTACCCTTGTGTCCAGGGAACTGCAGGGCAGTCAGAGTAGACCAGAGGACAGGGGCAGAGATGAGACAGGGTGGGGGGAACAGCAATGACTTTTACAAGTCTGAGATCTTTGCTTCTTTGATGAATGAGGGGGAGCGATGAGCAGTGATTGTGAATTTGCTCACAGCTGGGTACAGTGGCACAGGCCCGTAATCCCAGTACTCTGGGAGGCTGAGGCAGGAGGATCACAAGTTCAAGTCCCACCTGGGCTATTTAGTGAGACTGTCTCACTAAAAAAGGGCTGAAGGTGTAGCTTAGGGTGAACACCCCGGGTTCAACCCCTAGTACTGAAAAGAAAATAAAAAGATATGGGAGAAAGTGTCTGTTTCAAAAAAAAAAAAAAGTGTCTATTTCTCTGATAAAGTGTAACTCCTGTGGGGGGGGGGGGACATCAATGACTTTGCTTCTAGCCCAGAAAGGTGTGACTCAGTGGTGAATTAGGTTACCTGCTCTCAGGAGTGTGCTAATGACAGGCTAGGGCCAGTACAGACAGGCTATGTCCGGGCTCTGGAGGTCAAGCTGCGGACAGTGGAGAGCTCTTTGCTGTACGCCTCACTGCTCGGGGGACAAATGAGCTAACTAACCGCTGTGGATCTATGCTCCCGCCAGGATAAAGGAGCAACCTCACCTCATGGGTATATGGTTTTACACAGAGTCTGCCTGGCACAGGTAAATAGAAACAGACGCTCAATGTTATTTTTATTATTTAAAAACACCTTATCACTATCTCATGAAACGCAACAGACGGCTGGTCATGGTGACACACACTTGTAATCTCCCCAGTTGGGATGCTGAGGGACAGAAGGAGTGAGTTTGAGACCAGCCTGCACTACCTAGTGAGAACCTGTCTCAAAACAAAACAAAAAAAGATGGCTTCCTTTTCTCTCACAGGAGAGCCTGTGCTAGTGTGAAGCTGAGCAGGTGTGTGTGTAGTGTGTGCACCCCATGGGACCACTCAGAGACCCAGGCTCCATCTGTCCTCCAGGGCAGGGTGACCTGCAGAGGCTGATCCCCACTATGGGACTGTCCAGTTGTCAGGAAGGGCAAGGGCAAGTAAAAGGCACAACACTTCCTTTCCAGGCCTTGACTTGGGGTGAGCTTCACTGGTTGAGTTCTTACCTATCATGCAGAAAGCCCTGAGAGCCGGGCGTGGTGGCGCACGCCTGTAATCCCAGCACTCAGGAAGCTGAGGCAGGGGGAGCCTTGTGAGTTTGAGACCAGCCTGGGCTACAAAGTGAGCTCAAGTCCAACCTGAACTGCATAGCGAGACCCTGTCTCAAAAAGACCAAAAAAAAAAGAAAGCCCTGGATTTCATCCTCAGCACAGTAACAGAAGAAGGCAGACATATAGACAGAGACAGGAAAGAAGGAAGGGAAAAAAAGATGCAGACCCATTTATGCACAACCCATTCGCCAGGACTTACGGTCACATCTAGCTGCAGGGGAGGCTGGGAAACATCATTCCTCACTGAATAGCCATGCTGGGGTGGTAAAACCTAGAAACTTACAGAAATGAAGGCAAAAATGCACATGGGAGTCCATCTGCTGCTACTCCCTGTTGGTGTGAGTGTCTGCTATTCCCCTACTCTACCTATGGCCCAGGTTTATAAATGGTGGCTACTTATATCCGGGAAGGTGGACACAGAAATGCTTGGGCGAGCAACACACGTGTGAGCCCAAGGAGTATGGTGAGCCTTCCTTCTGTTCTTTGGAAATAGCACCCTGTGGTTCACTTTTCATCTCTCATGGCTGTTGTGCCCAGGGACAGTAGCTCATATCTGTCCTCCCTAGGCCTGCCTGCCTGGCCTCTCCTCACTGACCAACAGGCCAGGTAGCACGTAGGATACCCCTTTTGAGGGCCAGGGATACAGCTCAGCGGCACAACACCTGCTTGGTAAGTGCAAGGTCCTGAGTTCAATTCCCGGCACCCCCCCGCAAAAAAAAATGAGGATTCCCCTGTTGGTCTCACATTGATATCTAATGGTTCTGCTCCCACCCTCTGCTGATTCCCTAATTTTTTTCTGCCTAAAATGCCTCGGTACAAAGGATGTAAACAGCACCCCCCACCGAAAAAGAGACTTGTTCTCAAGTGGCCCGCAGCAGTACTAACCTTGCTCACAGCAGGATCAAATTGCCCGCTTGCCGTGTTCCTGACGCCCACCTAAAGGACAGAGATGTCCTTCGGGGAGTCACTCCAATCCTGAACCTGTAACGTTGGTGCTGCGCTTAGGAAGAGACTTCTGGATTCCACATTCAGCGCGTAGGGAAGCCAGACACTGCAGGAGGTGGTGGGAAGGGACAGTCCTCCACGAGGTCTTGCGCTCTCGCATGTCTCAGGGCCGACAGGCCACCTGGAGAACAGCTGTGACAGGGCCTGGTTTAGTCTTGCCTGGAGTTCATGTGCACAGACCGGCCCGGCCCTATAAACATCATAATCCCTGTGCTGGAATGTTTTCTTTAAGACCAACCACATCCCAGCTGACCGACGACCTCAAGCACGCAGTGACGACTGTAAGCGCACAGCGTGTGGGGCCGTCTCCTTTCTCGTCAGACAGAAGCTCTGGACGGGCCTCTGACCACAGTTGGGCCTTGATGCCTTGACACACTAACCATCCGGCAATTTGGATGGACCGTCCTCTGGGGGGTGTCGCAGGGCTGACAGCCCGGCTGGCGAGGCCCAAGTTTGGTGTCCACCCAGCCAACTGTCAGGTCTATGATAGGTTTTTTTTGTTCTGTTTTGTTTCTTTTGAGACAAGGTCTTGCTACATAGCCTAGGCCAGCCTTGAACTCACGGTGACCCTCCTGTGTCAACCTCCCAAGTGTTGTGACTTCAGGCATGTGCCACCACAGCCGGCTCTATCTATAGAATACACTGCCCAGGGGTCCTAAGCAGGGGGATAGGACTTATTTCTGACGGGCCAGATGGGAGACCCATTGCCGTCCACTAGGAGCCATACAAGGGGGTTGAGCCTGAGCTGCTGAGTTTTAATGTCACTGCTGGTCACTACACGGCCAAAAGGCACCTGTCATGCCCCACAGAGAGGGACCTATTTCGCCACACAAACATAAAACCCACAGGATGGGGCACAGGGCACTCAGCTCACTGTCATGAAGCCTGACCTAGAAGGCCATTGCACTGACCACACTGTAAGCCACGTGGGCAGTGCCACTGGGTGTCAGAAACACGAGCTTGCATTAGCCGGGCTGGCACAAGGCTCTGCTGGCCCATGGAAATGCTGGGGCCAGTCCCCCGCTCAGGAGCTGTGGTGATAGCGGGCATCAGGCCAGGGTTGTGGGTGGCTGCGGTGGACTGACAACTGGTGGTCAACTTATAACCCCCCGCTGAACTGAGCGAGCGTGGTGCTGGGTGTGGGAGGCCCACCTGGGGACTGTTCCAGCAGCATAAGAGGCAGAACTGGAGAAGGAGGATGGCTGTTGGGAGCTGAGAGGCTTTTGGGAACTAAACAGGCTGTTGGGAGCTGAGAAAGGCTGTTGGAGCTGGTGGAAGCTGTAAGGAACTGTTGGTTGTTATGGAGGAGCTCGTCATGCTGGCTTTCCTGATAAACTTGGCTGTTTTCATCCTCCGAGGAGCTCGGGACCCTGTGGGCACAGAGAATGGCTTTGGTTCACTTTTTTTTTGTTTGTTTGTTTGTTTTTCTGGTACTGGGAATTGAACTCACGGCTTGCCAGGCAGGTGCCACTGAGCTAAATCCCCAGCCAGCTTTGGTTCACTTTAGGGGAGCTCTGGTCCTCACTTCGAGCATAGCTTCCTGGCTCTGGAGGGGAAGAAGGTACACTGCCGGTCTCCTGGAGAAGCTTGCTGTGTTGGCTTCCCTGATGGGAACTCGGCCATCTTGATCATCAGAGGAGCTCAGGACCTCACTTTGCAGAGGATGGCTGTGGTACCTTTCGGGGGAGCTCTGGTTCTTACTCTGAGTGTTGCTTCCTGGCTCCAGCACAGATCCCTCAGCCTGCTAGCACAGATCCTTCATCCCGCTGGCACAGACTTCCTAGATTCCACCACTGACCTTTGGTCCTTCCCAGCACAGACCTGTGAAACAGGCCTGAATGAGATGTTATCATGGGCTCTGGGCCTCCAGTCGGATTCGTGGGAGGTATTGTTGTGAGCTCTAGGTCTTCTGCTGGACTCATGCAGGGCATTTCTGCGGGATCCAGGCCCTTGGCTGGATTCCTTGGTCTTGGTGTGTGGACAGATTTCCTGCACTCTTTTGTATATCCTTCTTTGGGTGATTATTATAATCATATAAAATGTGTCCTGTATTATTATTGTTCCCCCTTGCAAAAATAAGCCCCAAAGCATAACCGTGGCCTTGTGGGCAGTACGCACAGTGGAGCGGGGGTGGGGTGGGGGCGGGCAGAGTCCCAGGTACAGATGCTGCTCCACGCAGGTGGAGCAGGTGAATGCACGGGCAGGGAGCCGTGCTGATCCCCCAAGGACGGAAGATGGGTGTGCCCACCCCTCAAAGCACAGCTTCACCTCTTCCGGCACCACTACTCACAGAGGTGGAAGGAGATGTGAGTACATTCCTCTGTGGAAGGAGATGTGAGTACAGCACTTTTACAAGTTGACAGGAATGCATTTTAGCTCCCACTATAGGGAGCTTGCAAACAGGCCACTCAACCAGGCGGGCACTGTGCTCACAATCCGGGCTGAGTCCGTGCAGGAAGGAAGCCTGACAGCCACGCCAAACTGGACTCCCAGGCCCCAGGCCCCTTTGGGGCAGCCTGCCACCTGCAGGCTCTGCCCTGGGAGGTGGGCCTGGGCTTCACGTTAGCGCAAGGGATGGGCAGCATCTGCCTCCTTGTCCTCGTCTTTACCTGATGGCCTACAGAGAAACTTTTTGTGGACAGCCGTATCTGACTAGTCAGGTGTGTGGTTCAGAAGCACAGCGAGAAATCTGTGTGTGTGATGCTGGGGGTGGAACCCAGGCTCTTGTACAACAGGCAAATACTCTACCACTGAGCAATACCTCTATCCTCCCTTTTTCAACTTTAAGACAGGGTTTAAGTGGCCTAGGCTGGCCTCAGACTTGCAATTCTTCTGCCTCAGCCTCTCTGAGTAGCTGGGATTACAGGTGTGTGCCACCACGGCCAGCCGTGAGTGTAGGTTTAAAAGCCCATCTTTTCTGTTTGAAGACAAGGGTATGATGTGCAGTGCCCACTCAATAGACTGGCACTGGCCCACCCGGATAGCCTTTGCAACTCAGCCAGTAAAAACCTGACACAGGCTTCAAGGGCCACACTGGACAGCAGCGCCCTACCCTGGCAAGTGTCAACCGTGTGGAGGAACCAGGAGCCAGGAAGGCAGGCAGAATGGGACACCAGCCCGAGGGGCTCCCTTGTGGAGCACTGTCCAGGGGACCTGCCTCGTGTGCGCCCAGGCACCCTCCCGACAGCCTGTCACCCGGGGGTGCAGAGGGCGTGCTGGGTAGCGGGATGACTTGCCCACGCGCACACCTGGAGTTGTGGGCCAGGCTGTCCTGGAGCTCTGGGGTCTGGATTTGCAGGGCCACATCAAGCAGGTTCCATGTGCTCGCCAACTCTGAGTCTCTGCGATGACTCTCTGGTGGGCAGGCTCAGAATGGACGAGTTATTTGCCCAACTTGCTTCTGGAATTGGTTTTTAAGCTCTAAGGGATTTCCAGGAAGGGCCAAGGGAAGGGCAATGAGTTGTTTCAGGAGAGTCCAAAGCAGCATCTTGGCACGTGGGCTGCACCTGGCCAGTCCCAGGAGTGAAGCCCCAGCTGCTGGAGTCCAGGCTGCCCACTGACCTAAAGGGGGCCTAGGTGCTGCCTCAGGAGCGCCTGTGTGGAAGGGGAGTGGGGCCGGGGCTTCCAGCATCGGGAAGGGAGGCTCACATATGGGCCACAGGACTGGGCCTATCCCAGAGGCCCAATCACCTCCCAGTGCTCAGTCCTGTTCCATACCAGTATGGGAAACATGACAGAAAAGTCAGGGAAGGCAACGCAAGGCTGGTCCAGGAGCTGTCCTCCTCTTGCTTCCAGGTGAGGAGACTAGAACTATAGGTCACAGCCGCCCAAGTGAGGTTAACACCACTGCTATCTGCAGAGGCCTTCCGTGGGCAGGTGCCACCATCCCAGCTCTCCCTACCTGTCCCCTCCAAGGTGGTCTTTCAATGGGTGGGTCACAGCAACCAACTCAGTGAGCTGTGGCCAGAATTTTTAAAATGTGACAAAGAATAAGAAAATATCAGGGCCACGCATGGTAGTGCACACCTGTAATCCCAGCACTTAGGAGGCTGAGGCAGGAGGATCGTTGTGAGTTCAAAACCAGCCTGAACTGCATAGCGAGATCCTGTCTCAAAAAAAAAAAAAAAAAAAAAAAAAAAAAGAGTTGTCTACAATACAACACTGAGTGCTGTTTGGTGAAACACCATGTGCAATGTGAAGTTCATGCCACCCCACAGCTTGCACTGAAAAAGTCCCAAAAGATGCTACTTAAAGGGTGTTTCTAGAAGGGGACATCCCACATGGACTCCTGAGATTGTCATGGCAGAGTGTAAACGAGCAGTCCTAGCAAAGAAACCACACACTGAAATCTATTTTATTTTATTTTTATTTTTTTGGTACTGGGAATCTGAGCTCAGGATCTTGCACTTGCCAGGCAGGCGTTGTGCTGCTGAGCTGTATCCCCAGCCCTGAAATTTATTTTAAAAGGGAAATACCTTTTATTAAACTTGTACATTTTATTAAGAGTCCTAATAAAAAAAAAAACCGAAACGCTAGTGTTTCTACTAAAAAAAAACAACAACAATCAAATAAAAACCTATTACAACATTACTTTGTGATGGGTAAGAAAGCAGGTAGTGGGGTCGACGTGAGCAGAGGACACCATCACTAGAGGACAGAAAGACAGAGGGGGAGACGCTGGGCAGCTGGCAGTGCCTTCCTGGGAGGGTTCCCTAAGCAGCGCTGGACCAGAAGCAGCTCCTCACACCCAAGTACAAGTACAGACAGACTGCAGCCCTAATGATCTCACAGGTACCATCAATCACTCTATTTTAAAAAAGCACACACATCCTCCCCTCCCGCCCTCCACCAGTTCCCCTGGTGGCAAGGCCTTCACAGGACATATGTGTCCTTCACCAGCTGTTCCTTGTCGTCTCCAGTGGTCCAGACAGCGTGGAGGGCACGCTCCTGCCTCTTCCGTATCACTCGGATCAGGCAGACCATAGAGGCAGCCAGGAGGACAATCAGGGCCATCACGGACAGTCCCACCATCACCACCGCTGGGGACGAGAGAGGACGAGTGAGGTGGAGGCCCCTGACCAGAGCAGGCCAGTAGCGCGGCTCCCCAAGTTTGTCCCCTCCCCAACATGGAAGTGTGGAGAACTGCAGCTGGGGAGACATGGCCTGCCAGGAAAGCCAGTGAGGGGATCCTCTGAAAAAAGGAGTATCATGCCATGTGCACACAGTGGCTCCTGTGTTCCTTGTTTTTTTGTTTTGTCTTTCTGAGACAGAGTCTCGCTATGCAGTTCAGGCCGGCCTTGAGCTCACTTTGTAGCCCAGGCTGGTCTCGAACTCACACCGATCCTCCTGCCTCAGCCTCCCGAGTGCTGGGATTACAGGCATGCGCCACCAAGCCCGGCTCTGTGTTCCTTGTTTTTGAAAAGAACCCTTGAACCCCACCCCCTGCCACCTTTTAAGGCTACCTATATGGGCGTCCCACAGGATGGAAAACTGCTCACCTCTGTTGTGTGTGGACTTAAAACCGCTGCAGTTTAACGTTTCCACACACCCACCCCCTGCCCAGCAACAGAAAAGACTCAAGCTCAGCCAGGTGCACTGGTGCACACCTGTAACCCCGGCAGTCTGGGAGGCTGATGCAGGAGGACTGCAAGTTCAAGCCCAGCCTGGGCAACTTGGTAACTTAAGATCCTGTCTCAAAAAAAAAAAAAAAAAATCCTGTCTCAAAATAAAAAATAATGTCCTCTTAAAGAGTGGTGACATAAAACTGCTGCTTTGTTGTTCTGATATGGCAAAAGTTAAATTCTTTTCCACTTTAAAAATAAAATAAAAAATTAAAAAATGGCCAAGGATGTAGCTCAGTAAGAAGACCCTGGGTTCCATCTGCAGTACTGGGAAAACTACCCTACAGGGAGGCGGGACGGTAGCCTGCTGAATGCGGTCGGGGCAGCCGGGCATGTGTGAAGCAGGGCTGGGAGGGACCCTTGAGCTGCTAATTAGCTGCCAGGTAAAGGTAATACCAGTTGCCCCACTGTGGCCCCCCTGGTCAGTTCCATGCCTCCTTCTCAGGCAGGGCTCTAAGGCATGTGACTTCCTGTGGCCGCCACCTGACTCCCCTCCTCCACTTGCTACAGCGCGAACCCACCCCCACCCCGGGAAATTGGGTTCCAGCTTCCAGAAGGAGTTTGACTTGCAGGCCAGGTTGTGGATCCTCAGCAGGGCAACAGGTCAGAAAGAGGCCAAACCAGTGTGGCAGGTCCTCTGTGTCAACATCACATTCACAACTCAGACTCACAGTGGAAGGACACTGAACCCCTGGTCAGGCCAGACTGCTTGGGGACAGCAGTGCCCAAGTAGCTCTCCTTCCTGTCACCATGACCGACTCGTTACATCCCACGACAGCACAGTTCCCTCCAAATCTCGGGTCAGTTCACAGTAAAAACCTGTCCCCCGCCGCAACTCCCGGCTGCCTGGGAGGAGACGGCCTCAGGAATGACTGACTCACGGCCAGCTGCGTTTGTGTGCGGAGTGTGGTGGGACAAACGTCCACCTGTGCTCCACGCTGCCTCCCATTCTCATGTAGAGACAAGCTTTCCACCACAAAGATGTTTACAGTGCAGGATAATGTGGCCAAGACGGCAAAAAACCACAGGCAGGCAGGGCTGAGCTTAGTCAAGGACGAAGGCAGCAGGCAGGTGATGGGAAGACTGGGCGGGCAGCCACTTACCTTTAGGACCAAGGGACAGGGCAGGATACAGCTGCTGGACTGGAAGAGAAGACACAACCGGGGAGGGTGAGGTCAGCTCGCTGTCCTCCCCAGCCCACTGAGCAGCAGCCTCCCACCCAGGAGCCCTCAGGCCGGGCCTTCCCGGGGAGCGTCTGCTGAAGGACTTCCAGCTCTTCCGGGGGCTCTGAGGCTCTGAGGCCTTGGCACTCATGGGAACCAAAGGTTGGCACTTCCAAGGCCCTTGTGTCAGGGACAGGGAGCGGGACGAGAGCCTGAGGGAGGGTAGGTAGTCCAGCACCTTGTGTTGGACCATGGAGTCGGCACTCACCAAAGCAGCGCTGCATGCACGCCTCCTCGGAGCGATAGCTGTTTTTATTGCCGCGGCAGCCCCCGTAGGTGAAGACACCACACGCGTTCTTCTCGGTGTCAAAGTACCAGCGTGTGAAGGCTGCGCGGCAAGGCCCAGTGACGGCCTTGGCAGCGCAGTATTCTGCAAGCAAGAGCAGGAGCCCGAGGAGCTCACATGAGCGGGGCCCAGGAGAGGAGCCACGCTGGAATGTGCCCGAGTAGACACAGCCGCGGGCAAGGGAGAGCATCTCTGGCTGGCTCAGAACCCCGGGAGCTCTGACGGGGCCAGTCAGCCCGGCTGACCTTCTGCTTACATTTTTAGATACTTTTTCTACAGCCAAGACTTCATGTGCAGACTACGCTATGCCAGGTAGAGTCAGCCTCCACAGATGTGTCCTGTGGCCCTCACTTCACATACGGGAACCTGCTGCGGCCACACAGCTAGTGAGAGGGGCAGCAGTAGGTACATTCCAGAACTGCACACACCACTGCTTCTGAAGCAAACCTCTTCTGCGGGCACATCCTGCTTCCTGCTGGCCCGGGACAGCCACAAAGGCCTCACTTCTCCAACGCCATCCCCAGAGCGCTTCTGCCTAGGAAAGGCCCAGAAGCTGTGCTCTGCAGTTCCCTTTGTGGAAACCTGTATATGTGTCTCAGTCCCCAGTAAGAAGTCCCACTTTACCCCCAGGCATAAATTTTTCCCCCTGGTACTCGAGACTGAACCCAGATCTTTGCTTTGAGCTACATCCCAGCTCTTTATTTATTTTTTTAATTGTAACAATTTTGAAGTGGGCGTGGTGGTTCACACCTGTAATCCCAGCACTTGGGAGGCTGAAACAGGAGGACTGCCACAAGTTCAAGGCCAATCTGGGCTCCACAGTGAGTTCAAGACCAACCTGAACTACATAGTGGACCCTGTTTCAAAAAATAAATAAATATATAAAATTTTGAAACAAGGTCTCATTAAATTGCTAAGTTGTTCAGGTTGGGTTCAAACTTGAGACTCTCCTGCCTCAGCATCCAAAGTGCTAGGATTACAAATGTGTCACCATGCCAGGGTCATCTGTGACTTTTTTTTTCCTTTTTTTGAGACAGGGTCTCAGTCTGTAATTCAGACTGGCCTTGAACTAACTAGGTAGCCCAGGCTAGCCTCAAACTCATGGCAATCCTCCTGCCTCAGCCTCCCAGGTGGATTACAGATATACACCACCATGCCTAGCTCATTTATATATA